CTTTATTTGGCTATTGAAAGCTGGGGATTTTTTCCGGAAAACGGTTTAGAAGTAATAATTTTGTTAAAATTTAAGGCAGTAACTTTGTTTTTTAATTTTCTGGCTCAAAAGAGGACGAAATGCGACGGGGAGTGTTGATTCAGAAGGGTAACTGGCTCGATTTCTATCGTGTCTGATCGATCTTATTATTAGTTATTGCCATTACTGTTATTTATTATTTGTTGTTATTATTATTATTAGTATTATTATTGTAATTAAATGTGATTGGCCATTCGTATCGTCAAAATGCGGTCGTTATATGGAGAGTAATAAAGTAAAAATTTCAATTGCAGTGCATTCACTCAACAAAGTACTTTATATCGATAATATAAAGTATTTTTAGTGGCTGTGTTGTTGGTATTCGAAGAAATAGTTGAGGTTATTGGATTGGAGATTATCGTTTGTATTTGTTAATTAATTACGGACTGGTAGAGAGAAGCATTAGGTGATATTTGTGGACACAAATACATTACTAACTTCAAACGATGGCTGATTATTCAGGTGTTGACTAGCGAATTGACACGGTGCCGAAGGATACACTGAAGAAAATGTACGTGTTTTACGTCCAATGTCGTCCGATATAAGGGCATTGTCGTTGGAACTGCTTTGGGTGTCCCAATGGGGGTAGTGGCAGGTCCAGTAGGGGCTGCAGTTGGCGGCTCGATCGGATTCGTCGCAGGCATGGCGATGGCGTTAGCGGGTGCTGCAATGAAGTGATTTGTTATGTGATGTGATGTGCGATGCATTTTTTAAAAATATATTACACTTAATTAATTATATTAACCTGTAATCGAGATTGCTATGAAATAAAACAAAATAACACGTACGATATTGCATTGTAAAGCATTTGGACGGAATTTGAATTGCAGCAGCACTATATCACGGTCAGATGCTGACCACAGCACTATATCACGGTCAGATGCTGACCACAGCACTATATCACGGTCAGATGCTAACCACAGCACTATATCACGGTCAGACGCTGACCACAGCACTATATCACGGTCAGACGCTGACTAGTAACGTATACTATCAATGTTATACGAGTAATTATTACTAGTAATATTACTATTTAAGAAAATTAAACGAGATCATATAAAACACTTGAAAATCAGTCATTTATTCGATATTTATTTAACATCTTTAATTTTTTATCATTTTTAAAATTTATTTATTATTGTTTATTATTATTTATTATTATATTCATTAAGAAAGTAATAAAAAATATTCAACGTCAAGTCAGTTACATTCCATTTGGTTCTCGTTAAGACTTTAAATTCAACACATCATTCGAATCTCATTATCGAACAAGCTGCGTCTCTCTTTAGCTATACATCTAGTAAATATGTAATAATATATTATATATATAATAAAAATATAATAAATAATATGGTGAAATATACAATAAATAGTACAATATAATAA